AGGTCATGATCTCATGATTTGTGAGTTTAAGCCTCGTGTTGGGCTCTGGGCTGACAGCTCAGAGCCTGGAGCCTGCTTCAGATTCTGTGTCTCCCTCTTTCTGCCCCTCCTCCACTCATATTTGTCTCACTCTCTCTCAAAAATAAACATTAAAAAATTAGGAGAATAATATTTTCTTTTCTCAAGCTTATTTTATTGTAAGAATAGCATATATAACACATGTAACATACAAAATATGTGTTAATCAACTGTGTGTTATTGGTAAAGCTTCTGGTCAACAGCAGGCTATTAGTACTTAAGTTTTGGGAGAGTCAAAGTTATATATGGATTTTTGACTATGTGGAGGTCAGTGTCCCTAGGTCCAGTGTTGTTTAATAGTCAACTGTACTCTTCATCGAGTGCCAGGAACTTGACATATTTTATTTCTAATCTGTCCTTCTCTGATCAGGACTCTCAGAGACATTAAACAATTTGCCCTGGGATCCAAACTTAGAACTTTATTTCAATAGTGCTTGTCCTCCTTCTACCAGGCCATACTCTCTTTCCTCTCTGGGTACCAAAATACTGTTTCACTCCCCACAGATTTTTCAGAATTTCTTGTAATTCTCCTTCTAGCACAGAAGCTACCTGGCATGGCTAAATAATTGTTTCATATGGCTTTTCTTTATAACAAAACTCTAAATTTCCTTTCTTTTCTTGTTTCCTGTCATAACCCATTGCACAGTGCCATGTACAAAATAGGTGGGAGAAAAAAAATGCTGAATATGTTTGTTTATTGCTGTGTGCCCTACCTCAGTGCCTGGCCTGTAGCAGATGTCCAGAGCAGAGGTTCTCATGTAGACAAGGCTTAGGTTGATTCTCCCACCCCCAGCCTACCTTACATCACAGGTAGGTGGGGGTGCAACAAGTGTGGTTTCACACTGAAAGGCCCTCAGTGTGGTATAGTGGAAAGACCTTGCCTTGGAGCCAGACAACGGGTGTAAATTCCAATTCTGCGACATGCTGTAAAACCTTGGGCAAGATGCACAACATCTCTGAGCCTCTTTTGTCAGGTGTAAAATAAGGATTATAGTGCCTCCTACGAATGTTCTGAGGATTTGGAGGCAATACAGATAGCAAAAGGAGCTCTCATCATGGTGATATTGTTCACATGATGACTTTCTCTCTGAGGGAGACTTGAAGGGTCAGCTCCAAGTGTGGCTGGCTTAGCTTGTAAACATTTTTTATCCTATGGTCGGTCCTATCCTCAACCCCTTTCCACCTCATTGACTTTTGGTGGTTTAAATAGACTTGTCAACGAAATTTTCATTTTTAAACACTGTTGCTCATCAGTATTTAAAAACTCTCATTTTTAGTTTTTCCTTGTCAATTTGCTTGTAAATCAACGTTATTGGATCTGTTTTTCCATTAAAGAGTTGGGGATTACCCCAGGCACAATGCATTAATGTTATTTCCCTTGTTCCTTACATAACAGGACTCATCTCCACCTTTAATTGAAGTAAGGACCATTTGGTAATTGTTTTGGCTCTGATTATGACAGAATTGGCTCATAGCCAGGGTGGTATAACTGGGGGCTTTGAGGTCAGGCAGAGATAACAAATCTCTTCCGAATCTCTTTTTGCTCTATGTAAAAGGAGGATGATACTCCTGAGTTGGCAGAAGGACCAAATGCTAAATGTATAGTGCCTGGCATATTGGAAAGATAATAAACGCTTGTGCTCTTTCTAGAAATAATCTCTTAAACCTCAAGGACTTTGGTGGAAACTGTTTAAAATAATTACATGGAATCCTGGAGTGGCATGTGAGTCTACTTTGCATTTGAACCACTAGTAGATTAAGCTGGACTTGCATAGGGAAACCTTCCTGTAATTAACCTGGGGTTGGGTGATTTTAAGCCAGTTTTCATTCTGCTGCAGAAACAAAAAAAAAAAAAAAAAAAAAAAGAGGAGACTGAAGAAATGCTATTCCTTTAATTGAAGGAACACTTTTATGTTCTCAGGTCTATTTTAATCTTAAGTGCCGATTACGCATCATTCTCTCCTGTTAACAGACACTTCTGTAAGTGATCTGCACAGAGAGAAATATGATTCTTACATAAATACTGTACCATGAGAAATTATCTTATTACTTAATATGCCAAAAAGCTAATAAGATAAAGGAATGCTACGAGTCATTTTTGGACAATATTAAAACTTGATTGTAGCTCATGGAAATAAAATGTAATTTCCTTTTATTATTCTCTTTTCCAGGTAGAACAAAGGCAGTGAAGGGTGTAGGGATATTATACAGCTGTGCTCCATGAGCATGTGTTAAGGCTGTGGAATGGATCCTGGCAGGATGACCTCAAATTAAGATTTTAATGACTCTTCCATTTAGAAGACACACTCTTTCCATTAATGCTGCCTTGTCAGGTATGATTTTTGAATTTGCAAGTGAAAGTAAAACACCCCATTTCCTACTCAGTTGTACAAATGCTTGCCTCTGTGTATTTGCATGTATATGTCTGTTGAAGAACAAATGCATAGTACTTACAGAAAGTAAGGGCAAAACAATTGGAACTGAGTTTCCTGAATTGCCTATGGTGAAAGGTGATTAAGTGCCAAATTTTGACAAGGTTAAGGTAGTCAGACACAAATACTGACTGCACAGGAGCCCTATGAGACTTTGTGAGTTTCAAATGTACTTTTAAGTGTTGTTCTTTGGGATTTAAATGTTTCATTTATAAGTGAACAAATAATGACTGATCTCGATGAAAGAAATTTAAACAGGACCCAAGTTGATAAACTGTTCTGACTGTAACTAACATTTGGTCACTCTTTGATCCTTTTGGTCAGATGTAAGTAGTTTTGATGCTGGTGGTGATGATGTAGGATGGTTACAGACACAAGCACATGTTTTTTGCACTCTTCCTATCAGTCTGAGAAAAATAACACTAAGTAAATGCCTTCAGCCTTCCCTGACATGCAATTTTTCATCCAAGTAAAACATAACGTACCTAGGACCTAAAAAAAAAAAAATGTAATAGCCTCTGCTTTCTTGTGATTTGCTAAAACTTTCCCACAAACACCTACAAGAAACTATATAACGTTTGTCTGGAGATTTAAGGTACAGGCTTACACTCACAGCAAAATGAATTTTTTATTAGTTGTTAGGCAGACATGTTATGCTGATGTTGGGAAGTGCTACCAAGAGAGTGTATATAGAATGGTCTTCCATGGATATTTTAAAGACCTATTTAAACACGTACAGCTCTTTGTGAAACTGTCAAGATAGGTCTGTTGCAGGCTGGGGAGTGAACTACATGAACTGGTAAGATTCCACCAACTTCCAATATTCCAAAATAATGTATCCATTCATTTAAAGTACGCTAAAATGACACTTTTAAGGATCAGAGATGGTGATGATTGGTAATAACTATCTTAGGTTTAGCAGTAACATTTTTAGACCCTATACACATGTTTGTGAAGCCGTTTTCCCTGGGGGCAGCTATTTGTGCATTTTTCTTCAGAAAAGAAACTTAGGGACTTGTCTTTAAATAAAACTGAAATAAGAACCCTCAAGTTCATCTATGTAAAGTTCAGGCTGACTTCGTTTTAATATTTAGCTTGGTTAATTAAATCCCATTCTTTGCCCTGAATTTAATTATCCCAACTACTGTGGTAATTTAATATAATAATAAAAAAGGGGAAGGGTAACGAGAAATGAAAGAGAATCTGACTATTTCTTCATCTGGCTCACTTAGAGGCATTTCTTCTGCTAGTGTCAGTTTATGGATGGTGATGTTTTATGAGGTATTATGAATTTTCAATTAGTGAGAAAATGAAAACGAAAGACAGTAGATCATCAATGAGTGGTTGTATCGGGAAATCACTAAAAAGCTCATCTGTAAATTTAAGGGAACAGTTTAATATGACTTCATGATACCTTAGACATTTAGTCCCCCCCCTTGAGGTTGAGCTTAAAATCCATGTTTTTATACACTGTATAAGTTAAGTCCTTGTTTAGGTTTCTATTGGAAGTAAGAAAGTCAAATATTTGCTACTTCTAAGCAAAAATGAATGCTAACATAACAAGGTAACCTTTCTTGTTTTGCTACCACTTCCAATGTAAATGGTCTGTTTCCTAAAGACTGCTCCAGCTCTGCAGTCTCAACGCTGAGGTGCTGTGCAGTCGTCTCAGACTTGGAGTCAAGCCCCAGCTGGAGACTTGCCAGCTGTTTCAAGTTACTTAATCTCATTGAACCTCAGTCTTACCATCAGTGAAATGAGGACAGTGCTATCCACCTCTCCCAGATTGCTGGAGGACAAAGTGAGAGAATGTAGAGGACAGCACACAGCCGGACAGGAGATGCTCTGCAAGCAGTGACTTCCTTTCTTCTGAACAAGTCACAAATATGCTTATAAATGAATAACCGACACTAAATGTATCACAATGCCAAACATAATGCCAAATGTACCAGCTTCTTATCAATCAGTGCAGTGTTCGTCACTTTAAAGTACCAGTGATTCACCTGGGGATCTGGTTAAATATAGATTTGCATTCAGCCCGAGATTCTGCATTTTAACAAGCTCCCAGATGATGTGGATACTGCCGGCAGGAGCCCACACTTTTACTGGTATGGAACTAGGGCAATGACTTTTGAATACCGAATTGACTTTGAGAGACTGGGCTAAGTTGCAAAACACAATTTTACTCTACCTTTTTTTTTTTTTTTTTTTTTTTGCGTTTGTTTAATGATAAAATTACTGGGGAAATTTGAAGATGCTACAAAAAAAGTTTGAATGAACACATTTAAAAATCTGGGAAGCTCAAATCCATTCTACACACTTTCATTTATTGTCTGGACAGATAAAGTACAAATAATTCAAACACAACAAGATTGTGAAAAAAAAAACATTTACAATACTTTCCCTCAGAAATCATCTAAACTAGCAAGATTAACATGAAGTCATTCATTATAACTAAAGTATACAACTGCCTGGTCCTAAGATTTTTTTTCCTTTTTTTTTCCCCCAAGAGTGAACACATTATAGAGAAGAGATTTTGGCACGCCTTTCCCACTAATGCTTAGCAAATGCATCAAAACTTTGCCAGCAAACTGCGTTCATTCATAGCAGGTGATGTAAAAAGTTTTCCCTGAATGTTGAACGAGTGTTCTTTGAACTGAAATCTGGTGTTTTTTTTTTTTTTTCAAAACCGAAAAGAGGAAAAAAAAACAGAAAAAAAATTTAAAGGAGGAGTCTATGATGCAGCCTTGGTTTTCGTTATCTGTCTACCACTACGACTACTACTACAGTTTGCCTCTTCAGTGTGAAAACAACAGTTCTGTCTACATGCACTTAGTGGGTTCAGCATGGGAAAAAACGCACAAAATAAGCACAAGTTATAAATAACCATAACGTTTTATTACCATTAAGACTAAACTTGTATTGAAAAGATTTTATATAACAAGACAAGAAAAGCAATAGCAAATTTAACTATCAACTAGATTATGCATAGCGAGTAACTGTTTCTATTACCCAGGGAAGAGCATGAACCCTTGTATTTTTTTGTTTTGTTTTTGTTTTAAATATATAACCGTACAAAGCACAAACATACTAAAATGATCAGTGCACTGGACGTGGGAGAATGCTCCCTCAGTCATTTTGTTCCCTTAGCTCTGTTTTTTTTTTCCCCAATCTGAATTACATTAAAATAAAGACCCAGTTGTTTTTATTTTTCTACTGTGCAGTAAGAAAAAATATTCACAACAAACATGACAATATATCAAACAATAGTTCTACACAAGTTACCTTGATACCTCTTTAACTGTCACTTAAATATCATAAGAAAACATTTTAAGACATATACAAACAAAACTAGCCAAGTGTTACAACTTATAATAAATTAACCCAAAGAAAAAATAACTTTATATATATATATTTATATTGTATATACACATACACACACAACAGAATGACACAATAATATGCTTCTTCCCATAGTTTAAGTAAACAAATAAGTAGTCTAGCCAATCTAGCTATATTTGATCTCGGCCATAGGCATCATCACATCGGCGATTAAATAAATAAGTGTTTCAAGCAACATAAACAGTGTTTCAAATGTACCAACACAGCCCAATTCTACCAGCATGGGCTACAAAGTGAATTTGAAAATTCCTTAATGAATTTAAAGCAAATGTATCTTTTGTTTTCCTCTCCTAAACACATTACATTTAACTATGATACTAAGATATGTAAATAATTTCGTAGCACCTACTGCTCAAACTAAGGAAGTTTTAGATCAAAAGGAAAATTAATCTTTTTAATTTTTGTTCTGCTGACATCCCATACTGATGACTTAAAGAAAAACTGTCTTTCAACTCATCTCCTTGCTTTTGGGTTTTGACTGTGGGGAACTGTGGTACCCTGGGTAGAACGAACACTCCTTTCCCCTAGTAATTAATAATTGTTTTTTTATTATTATTACATGCTATGAAAAGATATGAAGATCATCTGTTTATAGCCCATCCTTCAAAAAACAGTCTACGAATCCAGTTTAAAACACACATCTTGATCTCTAAAAAGTTACCAGTGCAGTATGAACGCGACAAAGTTGTCAATTTCCCCTAAATTAGCCAGTCAAAATATTTTTTTCTCAAATCCAGATTCTCTTGTAAAAATTCTTTATATTTTATAAAAATAGATTTTTCTTGAAACCCATTTTCAGCAAAGAGACCACCTCTTTGGCAACAATGTTAATGTTATTAAATTGTTAATGTCATCAGGTATCCCCCTTGCCCCCATCCCCTAACAGAAGACTGTTTTTAGTTCACATGATATAAAAGAAAAAAGGAAAAATAAAAAAATTTGCAAAAGTTTTTTTTTTTCATTTTTGCAATTTTTATTATTCCTCTTTAATTTGTGTGGGGGTTTTTTTAACCAATCTGATTGGATCAACTTTTTGACAAAAAAAAAATCTTTTTTTTCTTTCTTTGAATCCCATTACTTTGTAAAAATTGTTTTATTTTTATTTTTTTTTTTTGTTTTTTGTTTTTCTTCTTCAAATGAGCGAATGGTCATCTTAAAAAGACCCACCTTCAAGGAAGGTAGTAAAGTTAGCTGGCTGGGTTAAAATCCCTGCACATCGCTATCTATGTATATTATATTCAACAACGACAGCTATGAAAGAACATTCAATGCATCAAAGGTATTTTTTTGTTTTTTTTTCTTTTTTTTTCTAAGCATTATAAAATCCTTTCCTGGTACACCTCAGGATAATCCAATGTTTTAATACTTAGGCAACACTGGCTTATAAAGTCCATGGTTGAATATAAGCCTCGAAAAGTTTGTTTCTCTCTCTTTTGTGTGTGTGTGTGTGTGTGTGTGTGTGTATGTGTGTGTGTGTGTGTGTGTGTGTGTTGTTCGTATATATTTATATATATATTTTAATAAGTAAGGATGGGAAATTCAGGACTTGTGGGCTTTGTTGGTTTTAAAGGAAACTTGCAACACTCGGTCTCCTAGGCGGTACCCGTTGAGGCTGGCAATGGCCATGGCTGCCTCATCATAGTTGGTCATGGTGACAAAGCCGAATCCCTTGCACTTATTGGTGTTGAAGTCGCGGATGACCTTAACGTTGTTCACTGCGCCAAAGGGGCCGAAGAGCTGCCAGAGGACACTCTCGTCGGAATCAGGGGACAGGTTGTAGACAAAGATGCACCAGCCTGTTCCTGTGTGACCAGGGATGTTCATTCCCACAAGGCTTGTCATTCCGTCAATGGTGATTGGGGAGAACCTGGGGGGACAGGCAGAAGGGGGGACTGGTCCAGACATCAGTCTGACCACGGATAACACACAGATGCACAGACACAGACATGGGGCAGAGGGCTGAGTGAGTGTTTGCAGGAGAGTCTTCAAGGTTTAAAAACCAAAATGCAACAACTAATGTCTGTGGCATTTCTTCTGAATGGAATGGCTCAACTGGCTAAGGGACATAAATGCCAAGAGAAAAGCTAGGTCAATTCCTAATAACCATAAGAAACTCCTAGAGCAAGGCTCTACCGTACTTCTACCACAGTATATGGTCATAGGGTATCCCACTCTGACCCTTATCCTCCCTCTCCACAATAGACAGCTCTTGGGGGAGGGGCTCTATTTCATTCATTCTGTTGCTCTACTTATTTATTCACTGAGGCACATGTGGGACTATCACAGACATAGTGACACATAGAAAATAGTAAATACTTATTGACTGCATAAGTGAATAACACTGGTGGATATCAAAGCTTGGGAAATTTTCTTTTTTAATTTTTAAGGCAGATTAGGGGATGGCCCGAGGAGTTTTCAAGTCTACCATCTTTGCAGTCCCCTGACTTATGGTTGTCAAAGATCTCTTGATATTTTGTGGACAGAGATGTGTGACAATGAACAGACATGCCTTGTTATTAACCACATGGGTGGCTCATGTTTCATTTAGCATTTATTTAAAAGAGTTCAAAAAAAAAAGCCCAACCAATAATATTAACGACAGATCACTCCTTGATGCTGTATTATCTGGAATTAATTTCTAAGCATCACAGGAGTAAGATTTTAAGTGGTTTGTGCATTTATATAACTTGAATTAGAAAAGCAGGAAACTGTTACTTGCCTATTATAACTTCTTTTGTATTAGCCTTTGAAATCTCAGTTTTCATGCTACTATCATGAAAAGAAAAACAACCCTTCAGATTTTATTCACCGTCTGATAAAATATATACCGTGTGATTCATAATGGATGCATCAGATTATGTTACCAGTGCCTACAGCAGAAAAATATTTGCTGACTTTTTGTTTTATACCAAACATATACAGGGATTTTGTCCATATCCACTGACTAGTGTCTTCGTTTTCATGTGGTTGGGTTTTTTTGGTTTTGTTTTTGTTTTCTGAAAAGGAGGATAGGAGGAGGAAAGGAAGCAAAAACTGGGGACAAGAATGGGGTAAAGTGTTACTTAGGATGTTTTAAAAATAAGCAAATGTTCTTGGAGATTGGAAAGTCCTATGGAAGAATAGTTCTGCATGTAACTAGAATTTAGGTAATCAAGTGGCTGCTGTAGATATGCTAAACATAACTCAATAGGTATTAATTTTGGCATTATTCACTAAGTCAATCTTCCCTCTTGCTAAAAAAACAAATAACAAGGGGCACTTGGGTGGCTCAGTCAGTTAAGACTCTGACTCTTGATTTGGTTCAGGTCATGATCTCATGGTTTGTGAATTTGAGCCCTACATAGGTGCTGTGCTGACAGCGTGCAGCCTGCTTGGGATTCTCTGTCTCCCTCTCTCTCTTCCCCTCCCCTGCTCTCTCTCTCAAAATAAATAAATAGACATTAAAAAAAAAAAAACAACAAGTAACGAGACAAAACCAAAAATCATCACGGTAAGAATTCTTAGAAGGGCAAATGCATGTCTAACTATTATTTGCATTATTTCTGAAGACTGTCTTCTCAACCTTCTCTCCTCCAACTGAGTGAATTGACTCCTCTCAGTTTAAAGGTAGAGAACAGCTATAAGTAATTATTTTAAGGCCAAAGTCAGGAACCAGCAAAGAGGTTTCAAGGAGAGTCTCAATTCTAGTTGGGAATGGCTACCTGGAGCACTTTGGTAGGGAGGAGCCTGGATCCAAACCTGGGCTTAATAGGAAAGGAGAGTGCTCTTATCCACTAGTGACGTGTGCTCTGAGTGGGGAAGCAGAGGGGGTGGCGGCATGCACGCTGCAACTGTGTGCCTTCCCTGTCCTCGTCCGTGCATGAGCATTCCTCTTTCTGTAACTGGTGCCGCCTCACTCAAGTCAGAGGGGAGCAAAGGGCAGAGTGGGAAAAATGCAAAAGTGAGAGTGGGAACAGGCAAGCAGTGTGCTAGACATGTGGAAGTAATTCAGTTATCCTCACTGGTGCCAGGACTGAGATTCAAGAGGCTGGCACTCTCGAAGTGAAGTCTGCAGTCAAGTTATTCCCTTTACTGTGTGCAGTTTCCAGAGTCAGGGTACTTACCACGCATGGCCAAGTGGTGAAAGAGCTGCCTCATATGGGGGATGTGACTGGGACTACTAAAGACCACATTGCTTTCCCTGACTGTGGGAAGGGGAATTAAAGTGTAAAGCTCTACTGAGCAGGATGATGAAGATGCTATGTCCCTAGCAGCTCAGTGGAGCTTATCAAAAGCACATATGGGAATCTCATGGACACAGTGACATAACGCACTCAACTTCCTGAGATTCAGCTTTCAGACTAGGTCTGGATCACTCTTGTGACTGCATTCAGAGAGCCCCCACAAACCTCGATTCTATTTGAACCCCCAACCCCACAGAAAGGCTTTAAATGAAAGAAACTGCAAGTGTAAAACATATATACATGTATAAAACCAAGGGAGGATTTATAATAACTGTTAAAACCTGTAACAAAAGAAACTCCTGGTTGAGGTGCACACAGATACACTTCATTCTCAGGCTGTACCCTGAAATGCACACTGAGCTGGGGGTGGGAGTCAGCAGGTCCTCCACAAGTTTATTCATGCTTTGGCCAAGGGCTGGTAGTCCAAAATCTAATTTTTCCACTCACAATCATAAGATTGTCAACCGTGATTAGCAAAGTGTTCTAATTTTGATTTGCTGGAATCTGCCCTCTTAACTGAATCTTGGCATTGCTAATGCAAAACAGTTGCTCTGCAAGTTTGCAAAGTCAGCTGGCAAAGACTAGGAGCCTTCTCCCTTGGGGGAGCCGTCTAGAGAACCAGATTATCAAGGGCTTGGTAGCTGTGGCACCTGAACCATAGGAGAAGCCCACCTGCAAATAAAAGAAAAAGTGAAACACACAAACAGGCTTTGTGTGCCCTAAAAGAAACAAAACCAACTGAAGTCTGAAATTAAAATTAAGAATTTGACATGCTGGTGGAGGAAAAAGGAAGAATTAAAAAAAAAAAAGTAAAGTTAGTGAATTAAAAAAAAAAAAATTTCTAGCCCCAGTCTGTGCCAACACGGACATCTGGCAATCTGTGGAGTTTTAATTACCTCTTTACGCCATAGGCCATATTAAGCAAATTGTCCAGCCTGCAAAGAGAAGGAGGGTCTCTGGGTTAATGCCTCACAGATGGCAAGATCGCTCAATGGAACTATTAATAAGAATGCTCCATTTTCAAAGAAGAAAAGCTCGACAACTTTCCCCAATGCTTAGAAGTCTATCCACTGGTCGTTTCCCCCTTTTCTGCCTCCAACTATGAGTAATCCACGTTCAGGTCAATGCTGGAGTTTAAAGCAAGTGTCTAATGAAGCTCCCTTTCTTTCAAGGTCTGAATTAATCCCACTCACCCCTCCTCTCAGAACATTTGTGTGGATTTCATTTTATATTGTGTGTGAGACCGTTAAAAGGGGGCAGCTTCTTAAGTTGTTCACCTTTTATTACAATTCACCTTTTACTGCAATTAAACTTGTGAATAAAAGGAATACACGCGCATGCACAAGGCATTATCAGGATAGATCTTTTCTCTTAATCTAGCTACATTAACTAAATCTTCTTACCACACACATTTTTTTGAGGGGGAAGGAGGAGTTTGGGGTTAAGATTTTTTACAATGAGCTGACTGTTTGCAACCTGAAAGCTCCTCCCAGCAAACTGCCATTATGTTGTAATCTCCGTCATGGTCAGTATTTTACTTGGGGACAAGCTATTCACACCATGGGGCAGTAGTAACCATAGTTTCCACCATTAGAAGCCTGCTGGAAAGGCTTTTTACATAAATACTGCATGTGCTCTCACACAAAATAAAAATTAGATGACTTGGACTCCTCATGAAATCATTAACCATTTCAAATTCCCAGGGCATGGGAGGACACTGCTAAGGCTGATTTTCTCCTCATCATGGCCAGATGGAAGGGCCTACTATCTTCCCATGTGATGTGTGAAAAGGAGAAAAACCCTTTCATTAAAAGGAAGTTGGGGCATGGGTGGAATAAAATCATTATTTAGAATTATTACGAGTAGGTCAAGAATATTCTTAACTCTTGCACAATAAAGGCAGTCAAGGTAAGACTGCCTTCATGGAGTGAAACCTGCCTTTCAGAAATGTCCCAGGAGAAGGGAAGTGCCCCCATTGCACCGGGAGGGTTTGGTACCTGAAGGAAACACTAGTAAGTCTTAGACAAAATCTTCCTTCTTGTCCCAGAATCTACTGACTTAACAGTCAGAGTGAAGTTAACACAAAAGAGAGTACCTGTCCCTTCCTCAACCCAACAGAGTTACCTGTAGAAGAAAGAGGGGGACAGGCCAAACAACCCATCATCTGTCTCCTGGCCTACACTTTTCTTTGACTTTGTTAAAAGCCACTCCCTCTGCCTTAAGTCTAAGCTACTGAATGTGGTCACTTGTTTGTGATTTAACTTGTTGAAACAGAACACCTTCTTGTTTGATGAAATGTAGACATTTTGTTTTAATCCAAGAATCTGAAGTTTCACCACAGCCACAGTCGTAAGTTGAAAGGGGGCTTGGTAGAGCATCTGGTTGGACCATCCCATTTAACAGTAGTGGAAACTGAGGTTCAGTAGGGAGCTTCACACAGTGATTCCTGGGGACAGAGGTTCTTATGCTTGTCCCATCTTTCTGGGATGTGGGTTTCCCTGGCCCCCACCCAGCTCTGTACATGTGCAGCAGCGTTCTTTCCCCCATGGGTGTGCCTACCTGAATCTCTGGGCCTGGTGGTGAAGCGGGCCAGGGTAGCGCCGATTGGGAGACTGGTAGAGCTGGGAGAGCAGGGCCTGGCTGGACTTCTGGCTGGGGTTGTTGGCAAACTTCACAGTAATCGGTTCTGTAGCACCGCTGGGCTTCTGGCCATTCAGCCCTTTGATGGCTTCTTCTGCCTCGATTCTCTTGTCAAACCGAATGAATCCCACCCCTCTGGACACTCCTAGGGAAAGAGAAAGAGCCTTCATAAAGAGTGAACAAAGCACATTGGTAAGTATCTCTGAGAAGAGATGGGCTGGGCCCCATGGACCTCCAGTGGCTGAGTATCCCAGAATCTCTCTCACCCATCAAAATGCATCTGCCTGCATTTCTTCCATCATGGCTCTGGGCAGGTGCTGCCCACCCACAGAACACAGACACCTCTCACATCTGTCCATTCCAGCCTCTACACCAGATTGCTCAGTTCTCGTCTCCTTCTAGTTGCTCTAACCCATCACCCACTGTCCAGTTTCTAGTCCTGCAATGTGCCCTCTGCACCTAGCAACCATGTAATCTGTTTGACAAGCAAACTCTGACCACATTACACCCCTTCAAAGCATCTTTTACACATTTTTTGTAACTTTTCAATTCTTTACTTTGTGCGTGGTACCTGTTCCTCACTGCCTCCCACTCCACATACAGAATAACAAACAAAACCCACAAAAAATCCTCCCATGGCTCTATGTTGCATACAGATGAAGTTAGACTTTCTTAGCATGGCATTTAGTGCTCCTGATGATGTGGTCCCAAATCCCCTGTTGAGTCTCATGCCAGCCATACTGAACCACAACATATTCCTTGAACAGGCTGTGTTCTTCCTTGACTCCATGCCTTATGACATGTCCTATCCACCTATTCTACTGGACACATCATGTCCACCTAGAATTTTCTGTCCCTCTTTGTGCCAGATAACCTCAATCCATCATCCAAAACCCTGCTCAAATATCACCTCCTTGATGTAGCCTTCACAGCAACCTCCCCCCACCCAGGCACAGCACACCTTCTCCTGAGCCCCCGTGGTACACTGGACAGCCCCCAGCAAGTGCTCATCATAATGGAGTCCTGCAAGGACAGAACTGTGCCTCCTTCATCTCAGGCCCCCAGTGTCCCTCTGTACAGTGTCTGGGGCAGAGCTGGCTTCAGTAAGGGTCTATTGCAGGAGTCGAATGAGAAACACACGCTGAAATGCTCTCAGGGGGTGTTTTAAAATGGGATCAAATGGAGAGTAGGTGAAAACATTTTGTCAATAAAAATGCAACCCAGGTTACCTTACATTTCTTACTGAGAGGTGGTGGATGCCTTTCTTTATTATGGACAAAGTACCACAGTACCAGGTCTTGGGTTCATGTCCCTGCACTGCCACTAACTAGCTGGGCAGAAGTCAGATCCCCCACTTAAGACCTCTCTTTTTTCACGTGTGAAATGAGGCAGCATGCGGTTCCCTCTAGCTCTATAATGATATCATTGGAGCTGGAGCTCTAACACAGGTTCTTTTCACATACAAAAGTAATGTTACTTGGTTAAGGGTTGAAAGAGACTTTGAAGGTCATTCAGTCCCACTCACAACCTGATGCCCGAATCCTCTTTATAGCCCTGCCAAGTAGTTTAGCTGCTGCTGGAACAGTTCCCATGATGGGAGATCTACCTCCTAAGATGGCCCATTTTAAATGTGGGCATTTGATTGATAAGAAATCTTTCTCTTAGGTCAAAAATCTGTCTGCGCATGATCCATACCCTTTACCCTAAGTAACCATTATCTCTCTGCTCCTATGGGTCACAGGGCACTGGCTGTGGCATTGAGACACAAGGAAAGAAATGACAAAGAAACACTTAACCTGTGACTTGATCAACCAGGATTCGAGAGGTGATGATACGGCCATATTGCGAGAAAAGCTGCTCCAGTTCCTTCTGGGTCATGGTTTTGGGAAGGCCGCTAACGTAGAGGTTAGCATCCCTGATTGAGGCAGAGCTCGGACGGGCATATGAGACCTAGGAAAAGGCAAGAGGAGCTAAATCCATTACAGGCAACACCCTCTGAGTAGAGTCTGAGTCAACAACTGAGATGACAGCCCCTTGTCTATCATTCGAACTCATGGTGCCGTTTAAATATCTCAGTAGTTCAGATTCTTAGCTACTCTTGTAATCGTAATACGAATCCCGAGAACGGCAACAGAGGAACAAAAGGAGAGGTGATGATAACTTAAAACAAATGCACAGATAAGGGTCTCTAAGTGCAGAACAAAATAGCTACTGTATGGCAGCTATTAAATGCAGAACGACCCACGCATGGAGCTCTGAAGATTTACCTCCTGGATGTGGGTGTATAGATGATTTACTGTATCTAACACATAATAATCTTTGAATAAACCAAAAAAAAAAAAAACAACCCTCCATGAAATTCTGCTCTGCAGATTTCTCTCCTTGCCACCCTCCCCACCCCCAAGCCCTTCGTCTTCAACACATTAAAGCGATCAGGTTCTCTGCAAGATTTTTTATGTCCCATCCTCTGTGTTGTTCCAATCTGCTCCCACAAGGTCTGCTCTCGCTGAATGACAAAGTGCAATGAAATGGGGCTTCATGAACATCTGCTTGTGATACTGGATACATGATCTTGTCATAACATCTGCAAGAACCGGGTACCTTCTAACGTGGAGGAAGAGCAGACAAAACTACAATCAAGGAAAGGAGAGCAGAGGGGAAAGGAGGGAGGGAGAGGGCAGTGGAAGAAGGAAGCGAGCCTCACGGATGGTTATAATAAGTTCGACTTTGTAAATTTGTCCTCCCAGATCTCTCAACTGCTTTTTTTCCCCCAAAAAGCTAACACAGAAGTGTAAACAGATCTGAAATTCCATCTGCAAGAAGCCAAATCTGTAGCAGTACACATAAGCAAAGCAAACCCCAGCAGTCATTAATTTTAGACTTTCATTTACTTATTTATTTATTTTTTAAGAAAACAACATCAGACATTTGAAATATAATTTACAGCTAGTCTAACAAAAGCACTTTCCTGCTAAAGCTATTTCTGGGGCGGTTATGGCTCAGAATAGATGATGAAAACAGTCATTTCAGAGCACATCTGACAATGTTGGACAGGAAGGGACCTATATGCCTTAGCATTTTTCAGTTGGGAGTCTTATTTAATCCATATATCCAATTTACAAGATCTGCTAAGACTCTGGGGGTGAGTGAGTGTGCATGTGCATGGATGTGTGCGTGCGTGTGTGGTACACACACAAAAGCATGCGTACAAAAGAAATTGTACATGTTAAACTGGACCCTTGGCATCAAGAACTAAAGCTCCAGCAGTGGAGGAGAACTTGCTTCTGAGAAAGGGTCTGGCAGTGTACCTAGCAAAGAGGAATGAAGGATGAGCAGACCCCCTCACCCTTGGCACTCTCTCCCTTTCCATGACAGAGATGCCGAGTCCCTTTATGGGTTCCACACCTAAAAATAGATGTTGACTCAACAGATAAAATGATGTGAGTGACTAATCTGCCTCGTTGGTCTCCTCCTGCTGATGGAGCAAGGCAGACTGTCTGCAGTATCTACCTCTTCTAGAAACTGAGGGGGTGGCCTCTGTAGGCTCTTCTCCAGCACAGGGCTGACAGGCAAAGGGACCTTTACATGGAGTCCCTGGGGAGTGGGAGCTGAAGGACCAAGAATCTCATGTGACTGGACAGAGCATCACTCCACACAAGGCTCTCCTACCCCCATTCTTTACAGAACAAAGTCCTTCAGATTATAATCTAGCAGAACTATGTTTTAGACATGAGGAGGGAGTGGTAGGGACAAGGAAAGAAAAACAAGTAGTGATATGTTCATGGTAATGAGAGTTACCCCTGTCTAACCCCTGCCAATTATTGACAAATTAATAACCTGTATGACATTTGTGCTCCCCCAAAACATACCCTCCTACTTCTATGTCTTACAAGGAAAAATTTCCCACCTACTTTTTCAGGCCCTGATCCTATTTTTCTTTAAGGCCCAGATCCAATGCCATCTTCTCTAGGCAGCTTTCCCTGATCTTACCTCCTCCTAAAAAGCCCCTTAGCAGTGTTCTTCAGTGAACCATACCCATGATACTTAACCCATTCTGACCTTGATTTACCATCCCTCTGTCTAGACTGCTGATCTCCTTGAGGTCATGGTTGTGTGTGTGTGTGTGTGTGTGTGTGTGTAGGGGTGGTGTATCTTATTCACCTTAGTGGCTCTAGCTCCCAGCACAGAGCCTTATACCTGCAGAATGCTAAGCATCTAGTGAAAGAATAAATGAATATATCCACAGAACAAAATGAATGATGTAGGAATTAATGACTCTGGAGTTAACTGCAGCTTGGATTCCTCTACTTAGGGGGATCACCAAGAGTTAAGCGTCCAGAAGCATAGCTGTGTTTCCCTACTAAGCTAAGAGCTAAGGGGAAGGTTTCCCATTTCCCAGTGTCTGAGGTTGGAAGGACTGAAAGAAGACTGTTCTAGAAGTAGACGCCACGTAGAGGCTTTCTCTTGGCAAACACTTCCCGAGGACCTACTATGAACCAGACACAGTGCTGTGTGCTGGGGATGCACAACAAGAAAGAACACGGAGTGGTCTCTTGCCCTAAAGGATTTCCAAGTCCAATGGGGACAATATACAACATACAGAAGGTACCCAATAAACATGAGTTGAATGGAAGAATGGTACACAATATGGACCAATTTTCACAATGCTGTAAGATGTGTGCTATTCTAGGGTTGTATAGCTGGGACTAGAACACAGTGAAGGGGAGGATTTAGTTAAGGGTTATAAGGGCCAGAAAGAAGACAGAGCTGAGATGGGTGTGTGGTGGGGTCAGGGCATGGCGGCCTAATGATAGCCCTCCTCTGGTGTGAGGACAAATAAGACGATGAAGGTCAATGGCTTAGTGCAATGCCTGTTTGACACTCAATAAATGCACAATGGATAATAATGACCTTGATACCCAATGGTCTGGGCAGCCAGAGCTGGGGTAGAGAGGGGAGCAGGCTTAGCACATACCTGCTGGGGAAAAGGGGTGGACATTGGAAAGTAAATGACAGAACCAAAACCATTTCCTCAAAGGATGATTCTGATGGAGGCAGAATCTTACCCAGGCAGAATTCCTGCCACAGAGCAGTAACAAGTGCCAAAGGTGAACAGCAGCACCTTGATAATTCACCAAACCTAACTCTTGCTTACTTTTTCTCCTCTATTTGAAAAACTTAAGTCTCTTGTTATCTTAGTCTTCCATCCAGGAAATCTGTAGAAACAGGTATGGGCAAAAATGACAGAAAAAGGATCTCCCTACATTTAATATCCAAATGCTGATTCCTGGTATTTGTACTTTTCAAGTGTCCTCATACATTTATGAAATCCTAACTGAGTGACTATAGGGGTCAGGTCCTTTGTTAGGCTGAAACATTTCTCAAAAATTATCCACTTCTAGCCCCTGCAGACAGCCAGCCATTGCTGGTGTGTTAACCCCACTAAACTAGTGGCCTAGAGCCCAGGGCTTCCAATGCTAAAGGCAGTGCCCTAGAGAATCCCATGCCTCAGTCCCTCAGGATCCTGCTCACTCCATTCATCCAGAACGTTTGAAGACAAGACTGGCATTTCTAGGCTGGCACTGATCTTGCTCTGGAGCTCAGAAAGAGCTGGGAATACAGAGGCCACTCCTCTAGCTCTGGGTTAGGATGGCCCAGAGGCAGGTGACTTTACAAATGACCTTGATAAAAGATTTGCAGTGCCTCCAAACTCCCCATCCCTGCAGGCTTACAGTAACCCTGACCCACTGCAAGAGTAACAGTACAGTGTGGAGTTTACAGCCCTGACTGTGAGCTGGCTCCCACACTCACTAGCTATTACTTGGGCAAGTAATTTGATCTTGATAAATCTCAGTTTCTCTACTGGTATAAAGGGGGACAATTTTCCTTTGATGGGTTATTATAAAGAAGTGAGATAATAGATTTAAACAGGGGTAGCACATTCCTAGAATTTAGTAGATATTTAGTAAATGTTATTATCTTATTACTACGCAGTGAGTACTACAGGCTTTTGTGGGCAGTGTGGGACTCTAGCACCCACTGGGACACACCTTTCAATTTTACCACACAAGCAAACATCTGGGATACCACCAGTGAGCACCTATAGAGGCACCACGTTCCTCCTGTCAGCCTGGTGGGGTCTGGGTGATCTGTTACCACTTGACTGCCATGAATTTCCTCTAGCACATTTCTACAGATTCCACTGTACTTTCCATATCACAAAGTAAAGTACTTCCCAATTTCCAATGTGACTTCACAAGTCTGCTGTCAGTGACTCTCATCAAGGTGGTGCAGCAGCATTATCATTCATCACAGATGGGGCAGCAGGACCCCGGCTGGGGGCTGCACCTCCCACACAGCACTCTCCTCGCAGGTTCCTTCACCTGTTCACAGCCATGGGGGTTGGCCTGGGCAGGGATGGGGGAACAGCATGGCCTTGGGTAAAACGTTTCCTGAATCCTCTGGCAATACCTTGCCCCTTGTCTAACCTGCCGTGGTACAGAAAAGGGAGAGGACTCGGAAAACATGATAAAGGCTTGGTTTAGGGTGCTGGGAGTCTGGTAAGGTAAGAAAAGGCATCCTTCTCTGCTTTCGAAAGGTGCTCCTTTAATAAATACCAGCATTAGAAGATGGGAGTTCATTCGTTCCTCTCATTTCTGAACACTTCCTGTCTGCCGAGCTGTGCTGGGTGCCTGGTGCTTCAAGCACTCCGAGGTCCAGTGAGGAAGGGAACAGATAAATGAAGAGTGCAGTTCAGAGGGCTGTTCCTGGCAAGGGGTTACTCATCTCCCACTTCCAGTGTTAGCTTCCATGTGGAGGGAGCCCCCTGCGGTAGCAGTCTAGGATTCTTGGTACCCCCTCACCTCTCTTCTCCAGGGGAAGTACAGTGACGATTCTGAACAAGTTTCAATACTGGCAATAGGCACAGAAGCCTCAGCCACTGTGTACTT